TGAGGTAGATATGTGGGGGCGTGTTAGAACGAGCCGTTTTAGGGGGGCGTGGCAGAGTCTTAACTTTGATAAAGAATATCTCTTTGGTTTTGAGACTTTAGTCTTTGCAACTTCAGGGATCTTATCTATGCACAATCAGCTTATAACACTCCAAAGAGAAAGGAAAACTTGAAATCGCATCATATGACCCCTTTAAATATGGATGTTTTTCTTACAAAAAACAATCGATTCGCTACAAGAGGCCTTTATTCACCCCCCCGGAGCCGTGTGGGACACTTTTTTATTACGGATGGATGCGCTTTATAGGACTTCTTTTGGACTGTTGAACAGAAACACCTGCCCGCTGCCATTATAAAGCTTGGAAGAGCCAGGACAATTTTTTATATACCTCCAAATGGATCCGTCTGAAAGAAGAAAGTCATATACACCTAGAATGGCTTGAGGGTGAGTAAATCATGGGCTAATTTTCATTTTTGGGTGAACTATCCCTTTAAATGATACTAAAAGGCTTGTTTTCATTTGATTTAGGGATGGAATATGACCTAGAGACTCCTAAACAGCCCTCATCCTGACCTGATTTAATAAAAAATAAATAAAAAAAAAAGGTCAGCAGCTACAACGTTTTGCTCAGACTGCAGCATTATATACACTTGTCACTAATTTCCTTTCTCATGACATTATTAATATAGTGCTAAAAGAGTACCTCACAGTTCAAAACAACCTCAAATAATTAGCTGTTGCCCATCTTTTAACATTTACTCTGGCAATTATGGTGATTAGTTGTGTGCCTTGATCTTCATATGTAAATCTTTGTGTAAACAAACCTATATTAGTGTGTGGGTGCGCGGATGTGATCATGTACACACGTACCTGACAAAAACACTGTGCCGTAGACGCACACTAAATTACCCCCTAATTGGATCCCTTTGAATATTCAAGAGACGTCCCCTCCGACACATGTACAAAATAAAAACTAACAAATATGTGGGGGCAAGAATAGCACATTGGGGTTAAAGGCGCTGAGGGAGATAGCCTTCATTCTCTCGTTCCTGTCCCCGGCATCTGTTCATCCATATGGAACGGGGGGCAGAATCTGCCGTCTCTGGGAGGGCTGACATTATGTCAAACAACTCGCTGAGAGAAAACCAGCTTTAGAAGAAAAGTTAGAGGAAGAGACATGAGGAGAAAGCATTTACAAATTTGATAAGGTTCTCGTACATTCGAGAACACTTTACCTGGTTGATGGCTAGTTGATGCACTAAGTACATTTTAAAAGAATTACAGGATCCAATAACTAATAAGAAATCTATTTATTTAATTTTATGATTTGTTAATATTTTAATAAATACAATTTCACTTTTAAAACAAGCTTTCCAATTGGTGTAAATCTCAAAACAACACATTGCCCCGTTTCTTTTATTCTATTTATTTATTATTAAACATTTTTTGCTTTTCTCTGGTGGCCATGGTGATATTTGAGTTTCTTTGTTTGCAACCGGTAAGAAAGCTTTTTCCAGAAACTTCATATTGTCTTTATTTTTAGTGGACAGCAAATAAAAGGTCTGATAAATGAATTATTGATTGCAGTGGTCAGTTAAAAGAAAAAAAGCACTTCCCTTCTTTTTGTTAGTTTATTTATTTATCTGTTTGTTCACTTCGTACTCTCGGTTGGTGTTGTTTTGTAGGGTTGAGTGGATAGATCCGTTTTGTTCAGCGGTTCAGGTATTTTTTTTTGTTACAGTACTTGCATCTTGTAAAAATGTTTACATTTGCAAAAAAAAAAAAAAAAAAGATTCAGTATTGTCTTCTGCCTAGAACGAAAAATAAATTATCAAACAAACATACACAACATGTACAAACAAACAGATCCCATTGTGCTTGGCCTAACACACACACACACACACACACGGTATCATTACTCGTGCACATTACAGTGAGAGGAGACAGAACGGGGGCACTTTGTAAATGTCATGGGCCGAGGGCTCTTCCACCCTCTTTGCTGGATGGAATAAAATGAATTGAAGTGAACACTATCAGCAGCCGCAGCAAGATAAATCTGTCGTTTAAAAGGGACTTGCAATTAGGTGTGCAGGGGCCAGCAGGAGGGCAGGGCTTTTAAGAGCCTGCTGCCATTAACCTTCTTTTCTACTGCCACATTGACCTGGGAAGTGTAGTTTTTAGTTCTCCAAGATTGAATTTGAATCATCCACTCACCAAAAAGAACTACAAAGAGGTTGATGCTTATTTCTGACCTATCCATTAAAAGGGCGTTGAAAGCCCATTTTATTTCTGTAGTGTGACATTTCTGAGTAAAACAGAATATAGCGTGGGATTTTGATTCATTTAAGTGAATTCAATTCAAACCAATTCAAGATTCGTTTCCTGATTCATTCAGCAATTTACATTGTTACACCAGTAGGTGGACACAAGTGACTATAACAAATGAGTCACGGAATCATTCATTTAACAGATTTCTTAAAATTCTACAGTCTACTGAGTCAAATTATAGTTTGTCACAGTACACATTGTTTTAAAGCAGCTTTACAGAAAATCATGTTAATGTTTATAATGTCGTATACAGCTGGGCGATATAGTGAACACAAAAACAATCAAGCAGTTGAGATTTGCTGTAGTATATATCGATTTATGTAATTGCACTTTAACTTTGGGTAAAGTTGTATATACTTATATTTTCAACTTTATATAGAGCTGGGCGATACTATAGTATACATAAATAGGTTTTATATAAACAATCACGTAGCTGAGATTTGCTATATAGCATATCACTTTACGTGTAATGAAATAGTGAATTGTTCAAAAAAAATATTAGTTTGAAACGACAGATTTGTTCTGGCAATATAATGAAGCAAATTTTTAAATTATGTAGATGTTTTCCTTCGGAATAATGTGCAGTGATGAACCATACACAATAAGACAGAAACGTACGATCAAAGTGTTCATGCTGAACGTAGGAAACAGCAAAACATTTCTGCGGTCTTCACCTCCAGCTTTATCTCACAGTTCACCTCACACCTCTCTCTCCAGCGTCCCCTTCCACTCACCCCTTTGATATAAACAATCACGTAGCTGAGATTTGCTATATAGCATATCGCTTTACGTGTAATGAAATAGTGAATTGTTCAAAAAAATATTAGTTTGAAACGACAGATTTGTTCTGGCAATATAATGAAGCAAATTTTTAAATTATGTAGATGTTTTCCTTCGGAATAATGTGCAGTGATGAACCATACACAATAAGACAGAAACGTACGATCAAAGTGTTCATGCTGAACGTAGGAAACAGCAAAACATTTCTGCGGTCTTCACCTCCAGCTTTATCTCACAGTTCACCTCACACCTCTCTCTCCAGCGTCCCCTTCCACTCACCCCTTTTCTCACCCTATCCTTCTTCCTCTCGCGCGTTTTCCTCTTCACACTCTATCTGCGTGACCTTCATCTGCTCGCCACTTTCAGCCGGCACCAAAAACTTAATCACACACTGTCAAGCTGTAAGGAGAGGAGGAGGAGGGTGAATTCTTCCCCTCCTTCTCTCGGCTCCTCTCTTCTTTAATGCCCTTTGCAGGGGCGAGGATAGAAGGGGGAAAATTTATGGCTGGTGGGACAGGTGGGGTATGAACAATGGGCAGAAAGGAGTGCAGGGTTATCTGGTGGGGCGCTGGAGAGCGCGCGGCGGGGAAATCGATGTGACCCGTGATACACTGTCATCACAATTCCCACCCCAGCCGTCCTATTTGTCTTGCGTAGGGAGCCCTGGACGGGCCGTGTCAACATGCGTGGAGAGAGGCCCCGACCAGATTAGCCGGGGTGAATCATGACCGCTCAAGCTCTTTCTTATTTAGTCCCAGTTCTATCTGTTATTGCTGCTGCAGTGGGGCTATAGTTTGTGGCCTGGCACTGTGGGTGGGAGGGGCTGCCTATGGGGCTTGTGGGTAAAATATGGATTGTGTGTGTGAAAAAGTAAGAGATTAACTGCTATACGGAGGTTTGGACACAGCAGCTTTCAGTTTCTTCAGAAATGCACTGTAAAGTTTGTCTTTTCCCTGCTGAGAGATATTCACTTTTACCGTTTCTGGGTGTACGGTAAACCCTCGCTTTGATTATAGCCAGTTCATCCTCTGTGAAACTAATTTGTAGGCTGCATGAAACTCATTTCAAGGTAAAGAGTTTCTTTATTTTTTGAAGTTGGAATACTTTATTATATTTTTCCTGATTGTTATGCAGGGACTCTAAGTAAGTGATTTGTAGGTTGATTTTTCTAGTTGTGGGACTATTAAAACTCCTGAGTGTCCTTAGCAGCCTGACATGGCAGCAGCTAATAGTGTGAGTTTGGGGGCGGAGCTATCTGATTGTTTGACCAATGGAAGACGGGGAGAATGTTTGGGGAAATGTTTTTATCTTTTCAATTCTGCTTGGTGACACAGAAATTACACAATTCACGTTTTAAAAAAAAACGATTTAATTTCAATAGATTTTGCGGTAGTGATCAACTAATATATTGATATATACATTTATATATAGATTGTATATCAGTATATAAATTAGACAACTGTTAAAGAAAGTAAATGGTATATGAACGTTTTATAGAGTTTGCCTTTCTACTTGGTCTTTGAGAAAATATGATTCCCGATGCACTTACTGTTCATTACAGCATTTAGCTCCTTTTTAGTCATGTTTCTAAAATTTTCTTTGTTTGTGAAAAACACTATACGTTTTTTAATATTGATTAATTTTCATTTTTAGTAATATCAAATATTGATTAAATTCAACTGATATCTTTTTTTCTTTTATTGTGGCTATCAAAAAAACTCAGCTGACCACTATTTTACAAAATGAAACTTTCATGGTGCTAAACTGAATAGCAATTTTTTTTTTTTATATATATATATAATTTAATAAATGCTTTAAATATAAATTCTAACTTTCTAAAAACACTGGCGTGACTATTCATAATGTTCACATTATGTTCTGTGTTTTGTCAGACGAGGCTCAGTTAGCTTTGCCCATGCAGAAACCAGGGTTCGAGAAGCTTCCTCTGGGCACTCAGACTCTTCCTCCAGGCTTCCCCGCTCCCTTCCTGTTTGCAGATGGCCTCTCTTCCGTGGATACATTGCTCACTAACATCCAGGTACATGCAGTGTGTCTTTTATTCACGTTTGTTAGATTAAAAAGTGAAGTTATGTTTTTATCCTCATATGCCGTTTTAAAATTGATTAACCACAACCCATTTTATGATTCAAGATGTTTCAAGAACTGTATGCTCTTCAATAAAAATAGTTATTGAGGGGGAAAAAAAAATATTAAATATAATTTCAGTTTATATTTCTCCTATTGTTTAGCATTTTAATGAATTTAGATTGTTTTAATACATTACTACCAATATCAATTCATTATTAGTTATATTAATAATTATTATTAAAGTAATTATAGTAGTAGTAGTAATAATAATAAACATCATTTACATAATTTTAAGTCATCATGTGCCTCCCCCTTGGAAGTTTGCTAAGGCCCCCTAGTGGGCCCTGGCCTCCTGGTTAAGAACCACTGCTCTTTACAGTAACTGTGAATGTTTATGTGTGTATTAAAATCAAGTGTGTCTTGTGTTGTGTTGGCGGCTCAGGGTCTGCTGAAGGTGGCCGTGGATAATGCCCGTGTGCAGGAGAAACAGGTGCAACTGGAACGCAAGGAGTTAAAGATGGAGCTGTACAGAGAAAGAGAGATGAGAGAGAGTCTGGAGAGACAACTCACCTCTGAACTGCACAGCCGAGGTACATACACACTCGATTAGACTGAAGGTGGATCATAATTGAACTTGCGTTTTATCATATAATACTTGATATAATAGTAATATTTTAGGTCCAGCATTCCCACAGTCATAGAAATTGTAAAAAGAATAATGTACGTTTCAATAGTATAAATAAATTAAGCCTTATCCAGTAATCACAAATTACTGAAAAAATGATGGAAATTCATTGGTCATTATGTGTACGAACCCTTCCGGTCCTCTTCTTCTTCTTTTTTTTTTTAGTAAACACATTAACGCATGACGAACACTCAGAAAAAGCTCAGAGTGCGCGCCGCCAATTCCCTCTCTACATCACAACCAAACCGTGTCACTAGTGGATTTACTGCCAATTCAACTCCTGGCGTTTGCGCCAAGAAATTAAGCCAATTATTCAGCTGGATAACAACTCTGACAATATGTACAAACACCTCAATAATTTATTAGCCATGGCTGTTACAGCATTTCATGTTCTTTTAATGTGCACTGTTATATGGTGGATGATTTGGCCAATCAAAAGGCAAGTAATTAGAAGTGTGAAGAGGAAGGAACACTGCAAGTGAGCGAGTGTTTCAAAAGACCGTTAATTGCTGTGAATCCACATATACACAGAGTTGATTATGTTTGTACATATTCAGAGGATTGTGCTGTGTGAACACGATGTGTTGGCGTACAGCTGTTGTGTTAGCCACATAAATGTGCATTGGTAGGTTGATTATTTTATTAGTAGTGCTATTAGATTGCTTATTCTGAGTCCCTGAACCCTGAATATGCGTAATGGTAGTAGCGATGTCCTAGCAAACACCACAAACTAGGACACATTTCCTTAAAGTTTATTAATCTGAGCATCTAAAAACCTTGCAATTTTACATATCCTTTTTGAAAGCTGTTGCACGTAGCGCACCATATGTTTTTGTTTTGCTAGTGCTAATGAGCACTTTCAAGTCTCTAATGTGTGAACGTGAGTTTGCGCTGGCGTCTCCTTGTGTTTTCAGACACCATGCTGAACGAGCAAAGTGTTTTACGTTTGAATGTTTGTTCAAATGTCTTTCTTCTCGCCCTCAGCCACTATTCAGAAGCGTCTGAAGAAGGAAAAGAAGGCGAAGAGGAAACTGCAGGAGGCTCTGGAGTTTGAGTCCAAGAGGAGAGAGCAGGTGGAACAGGCTCTCAAACAGGCCACATCTCCTGAGAGTCTTCGCATGAGTCTCAACGGTGGGGCTCTGCTCTGACACACGCACAACACTGGGTCGGTCCTAATACTCACACTTACGGTCTTTGCATTTGACAACTTGTCTACTCACATGATGTCTTTCCTTTTTGACCGCAAATGTTTAGAACTTTTGATTACCAGATTTACATCAAAGTGTTACTTTTAGTACTTGCAAGTTAACTTGCACATTTTGATTTTCAATACTTTGTACTTAAAAATAAAGTAAATATGGTGCTTCTAGTTAAGTGATAAAAAGCAGTTGCAAGGATATATACTGGAACAGTGTTGTGCACCTACTTCTTGTCGAATACACACGCTCTCAAGTAGGGCTGTGCAAAAAATCAAATGCGATTTTCATGCGCATCTCGATAGTAAAGCCGCTTCTGTGATTAGTAGTAAATCTCCAGCACGTGCTTTCAGATGGAGCGGCATTTACTACACACAGCCGTAGATCACTGACAAGCTACACAAAATCGGCAATGAATCACCTGCAATTTTGCACAGCCCTACTCTCAAGTGGCCAAGACAGCAAGTGTGGTATTGGGACAAGCCATCTGTGTCCTAACCAACCAAATGTGACACGATAACTAATAAATGACAAGCCTACAATGAAATCTGATTGGTCCAAAATCCTGCTCCATATAATTATGAGATCAAAAGTAGCGCTCCTGAAGCACACATCTCATTCCGTTTTTCTACCGTGAGCTCTGACATTGTTTATCATTAGCCGCTTTTCCACCGTCTGGCAAAACCATTCCGGTCTGTGTCGATCTGGGCCAGTCGGCATTAATATGGTATGGTCTTTCTGCTGGCTAACCATGCTGAGAATTCTGGGCAGAGAACCGTTCCTTACTAGAAACATTTGGCACGACGGTGGAAAAGCGGCTAATGATAAACAATGTCAGAGCTCACGGTAGAAAAACTGAATGAGATGTGTGCTTCAGGAGCGCTACTTTTGATCTCATAATTATATGGAGCAGGATTTTGGACCAATCAGATTTCATTGTAGGCTTGTCATTTATTAGTTATCGTGTCACATTTGGTTGGTTAGGACACAGATGGCTTGTCCCAATACCACACTTGCTGTCTTGGCCACTTGAGAGTAGGGCTGTGCAAAATTGCAGGTGATTCATTGCCACAAGCCTACAATGAAATCTGATTGGTCCAAAATCCTGCTCCATATAATTATGAGATCAAAAGTAGCGCTCCTGAAGCACACATCTCATTCAGTTTTTCTACCGTGAGCTCTGACATTGTTTATCATTAGCCGCTTTTCCACCGTCGTGCCAAATGTTTCTAGTAAGGAACGGTTCTCTGCCCAGAATTCTCAGCATGGTTAGCCAGCAGAAAGACCATACCATATTAATGCCGACTGGCCCAGATCGACACAGACCGGAATGGTTTTGCCAGACGGTGGAAAAGCGGCTAATGATATTGTTTAATTGTTGAACTCCATGTGAAAAAAACATACTACACAACCTTGATGAGAGATCCACCAATCAGATAAATCACTTGAAATGAGAACCATGCTTAGCAGTGACGTCCACTCCCATGAAGCACTGCAAATATCAATTGAGTCAGTTTCCCTACACTTATATATATTTTCTTATTTTGAAAAAATTTCAAATATATTATATTTAATTCTTAATGACTTCCATTCAGTGGTTTGATATTTGTTTGTTGTTTGTGATTCGAATCAGTTTGTAATGCTTTTTGGGATGAGATGTTATCCAACAGAAAAGAGGATTTTCATATTTTTTTAGACCACTTTCTGGTTCAAATTCTCTCTCAGAATTCAAGAATTGAGATTCTCTTCACTTTTTAGATTGGTTCAAAGCTTATAACGGTTCATTGAGGATATTTTTTTATTTTGCTATCTTCACTTACTTAAATTAACTATAGTGTCCTGCACCCACTAGGAAAACAATTTTTTTATTATATCTGGTGTCTGAATCATTTTTGGTTTGACTGTATATCGAGAAATGAATGGGAAAAATATATCCAGAATACTGAAAAAGCAGGCTGTGGATTTTACACCTTCACAGCCAAATATAACATATTTGATGTGTAAGATCGTGTTGCATTTTTATTTTAATTGACAACAGAAAATTGAGGTAACGCTGGAAACTCATTGCGTCGTACCTTGCTTGGACATACACTCACATACACAATTTCTCTTTACAGTACATTCTGTGATATTCTCTCACAGTATCTTTAAAGATCTGCTTGTTCAGAACTTCCCTCAGTTTGTCCATTGATATTTCGTTCAACCTTCTGTTCATTCTCATATATTTTTTTAGTCTGTGCTGATATTGGTATTTCCGTCTAGGTCATAACTATTAGCAATGCATTAGGATCATAATCTCAGCTGAGGAAATGGAGACTGATGTTTATCATAAACGCTCTAAATACGCACACTTATCAAGGCCAAACCATTTTCCCTAAATCGCTTGCTGTTGTTTTGATTACACTTGTTTAATTGTGAATATCTTAACAGAAGCAGAATTTGAATGGCGAAAAAAAATGGTACATTTGCAAGACATCTGCAAGTCTGCTGGAGCAATTATTAGGCCAAGGCTGATTAGACACAAATTCATTATGAGAAATTCCCTTTGTTTTTGCCTTTCATCTGAGGGCAATGCTAGAAAAACATCCATATTGTGAAGGTCTGCTGTTACGTCACATCTCTGCTCAGATAAAGCTACTTCCTCTTTTGTTTATCTCTGCAACATGGCCTTTGTTGTAGAGATTATTTCCAAGAGCAGTTCAACTCAACTGCACTAGGTAGACAACGTGAATTAAAATATATATGTACGTATTTATTTTTTAATAATACACACACTACCTAGACCTGGGCGATAAAACGGTATCGGTATTTATCGACGGTACACCTTCTTCGATAACGATAGAAAAAATGTTCGATATAGCGCACAATATAGGCACGTGCTATGAGTGACGCAGACTGCACACACAAACACATGCTGAATTGAGTGCTGTGCCTGCCTGTGATGATGAATATTAGTCCAATTTAAAATAAACATTTGCATTTGAATGCAAAAATAGTTCAATCAAATGTTAGGAGTGCATCAGGGAGCATCGTCAGTGGAGCATTAGAAGTCTAGCCCACAAGACGCGCCGCTGCTGCGTTATTCATTCAAAATATTAGAGAAATATAGAAGCTCAATGCGTAGAAGATCTTGATTAGGTTAAAACCAAAGCCAAGCCATTCACACAGAACACATATTCAGTGCATTTTTTAGACGGACAAATATGACTGCTGCTCTCACGTCTCACACAAGAGATGTATAGAAAGCCATTAGTTAAAACGGTTTAAACTTTTAGAAAACGCGTCACGAATTTGTGGAGGTTTATTCCGTTTTACTGCATCTCATATGTTTTTAAAGGCAATCTGTGTGATGGGCGATTCGGCTCTTTGTATTAAGCAATGCATAAATACATGATGCCGTTTTGTTCATAATTGGTTTGTGCAATTTACGAAATTATGTTTGATTTATATGAGTTAATTTAGACGTACTGCACGTTTTTCTTTTTATAGACAGTTATTTCCTTTGCGTTGGCAATTTAATGCGCTGCATTATTTTGCTCATTGCGCCCTCCTGTGGCCTC